AATACAAATATTGCTCAAGACGCAAATGCTCTAAATGGTTAGAATATTCTAATTTCAATGTTAGCTTATATCACATGAATATACGAAGCCTAAACCAAAATTTTGACTGTTTTAATATCTTCCTAACTACAATTAAACACAAATTTGATATAATAATATTAACAGAAACTTGGAAAATTAATGATGTATCTTTGTTCTGTTTGGAAGGTTATGATACGCTTTACAATAATGGTACGTTCAACCAGAATGATGGGGGTAGTATATGTAAGAAATGATATCAACTACAGATGTGATTTTGTTAAATTTGATGACGGTATCACAGTGTTGGATTTGATATTGAGAATTAATAACAAAAGTGTAAAAGTCACATCTGTCTATCGACCACCATCATCAAACCCTTATACATTTGTGGAAAATCTTGAAAAATTTTTGTTAGATAACAAAAATGCCATACAGTCACACCACATCATAATAGGAGATATGAAGATTAATATACTCCAACATACCACATTAGTAAACAAATACCTCACTGTAATGCAGAGCAATGGATTCATATCAAATATAAATTTACCAACAAGAGTAGTCAATAATAGTTCCAGTTCTTGCATTGATCACTGTTTCATCAAAAATTTTTCAAATTTCTTTCGGTACATACCGTTAATTGTTGAAAACCATATTACCGATCATTTACCCACTGTAATACTTATGTCATCACCAGAAAAAAATAAAAGTAGATCCATCTTCAATAATGAAACAGTGAAATTTAGGTGTTTTGTCGATAATAAAAAGCTACTTGCAAATATCAAATTAGAATCGTGGATAGCAGTGTACTGTGCAACGAATGTTAATGATACTGCAAACACACTCATTGAACGCATAAAATAGCAGCACACTGAAGCAAATAGCTGAAAAGGATTTTATAAGGATCATTGACTGGTTTGATACTAAAATTTTAACAGTTAACTTCAAAAAAACAAAATTTATTGCATTTACATCCTATTCAAAATTTTTACCTACCTTCGAACAAATTTCTGTTAGTTATCATGGCCAAAAGACCAAAATCGATAGAGTTAACACTTTGAAATATCTTGGAATATTTATAGACTCACATCTAAGGTGGGATAACCATATTAAATATGTTATCAAAAAAAATAGAAATGTTGCCTATAAACTCAAAATGCTTGCTAACATTCTTACAGAAAGTTATCTGCGGATCCTATACCATGCCTTAAATGAAACCCATATAATATACGGCATCACAGCCTGGGGTGCCGCCTGCAAGATATATATTTCTGACCTGAATATAGCTCAAAAAACTGTTTTGAAAGTCATTTTCCATAAGCCAAGATTATATCCAACGAACAACTTATATCAAGAAACAGGGATACTTGATACAAGACATCTTTATTTCTTACATGCCACCACCTTATACTATAAGTATTGTAATAAAAAGAAAAAATCCTATAAACACGAGCATAACACACGATTTCGAATAGGCTCATCTAATATCCAAAGACCACACAAAACATTATTCAAAAAATCATTTAACTTCTTAGCAGCTAAATTATATAATGTAGTACCAAACGAATTAAAGATACTTAATTTTGGAAAAAAATTTAGAAGAAAATTGAAAGACTGGGTTAGTAATGTGCAGCGAATGACTATACATAATTATAAAGAAAACTAAAACTACAAAATTCCAATTACATTAATACCTTTTAGATTTAACAATAATTGTTATACACATTATATGATTGATTGTTAGTTATTAAGATATAAACCACACGCAGGTGATGCCTTCTGTGGTTTTTTCATATTTATTTGCCCATTTTTTGTATTTTGGCGAATAAATATTATTATTATTATTATTATTATTATACAGGGTGACTTTGAAGTTGAGTCATTAATTTTCAGATAATGATTGTAGAAGGAAGATAAACCAAAATATGTGTGTAAAAATAAAAAAATTAATAAAAAAAAATGTTACCTTGTTTAATAAAGTATCGTCCCGACAAGTGTTTCAGTGCGGACCTGTATTTGATCGTGCGGTCTTGGAGCAGCATGCCCTGACCTGTGAGGTCTTAAGTCACCTGATTCACGAGGCCTTTGTACTACATTAACAAAGGCACGAGGGGTTGGTTGCACTCGATTGGGAAACCGCATAAATCCGTGATGCATCCGGGAGCATTTTGTAAAGACTGCCCCCCCGTAAATAAGAATCATGTTCAGCATTTTCGTAAACATGTGCCATTTTTGATTTCGTTTGAGCCACGCAACAAACACTACTATTCACTAACGCGTTATCGACTGTCGAAAAACATCGTGATAAACGTTTCAAATTCTTTCGCTTTTTTGTTTCCGATGCGATGAACCGGTCAGGCGGATTATATCCGTTGTCGCCAAACACGAACATATAATATTATTATTGAGACAGGGCGGTACTCAAACTTCCAAAGGGCTATAACTTTGTTACTTTAATTTTACCAGAAAAATGGTAAAGGAAAAAAACATTTCTTTTGATCAGATCTACTCACTGTTAAAATAAATGACTCAACTTCGAAGTCACCCTGTATAAAGGAGCCTGCCTGCCAAACCCCGTGTATTTTGGGTGCACTATTACACCATTGTACCGAACGTAGCAATAGATTTAGTGAGCAGCGCCTGTTCTGTGAGTTAATCATTTATCCCAAAATTTCAGTAGGCAATTCACATGTTTGAAGTTTGAACATTGGGATCCTTTGGAGCTGGAAGGTACCGCTATTTGTTAGAACATAAAATGAACATTAATTCTAACTACGGACCCATAACATTGTGTATCATTTTCATTTTTTCTTCTCAATGTACGGTTCATTATTGGTTTATATATATATATATATATATAATTTTGTATATTATGGATCGATATATTAGCTTGTTTTGTAATGTGTCAAAGAATATCTATTACATGTTGTAGCTTGTTGTCTTGTTGCTATCAACTTTCCTGCAATATTTTTTGAATCACATCGCTTCAAAAACACTACAAAACTACTATGGATGTGTTTTTCCCACTGCAAGCACAAAATATCATGTAATTTTTTGGAAAGGCTTGGTTAAGCTATTTACAAGCATTTCAAGGTATTTTTTTGCTGTATTTCTTAAGTCTCACCCATTGGCGTGGTCTGAAAAGGTCCATTAAAGTTGTATCGTTTTCACTAGAAAATTTGGAAATCTGACAAAATATGATTTCCTTGAGAAAAGGTCAAGAGAGCATGTTGCCACTTTCTCCTTTCAACATATTTTTGCCCCACAACTCCGAAAATTTGAAACAAGAAACCTCATGAAGATAGAACTAAGATTATTATGTTTACTACTTGAAATGGTGTCTAACCGGCAATTGAAGTTTTGAATACTTTTTTACGTCATGTTGACCACTTATGATTTCGAAAACATTATAATCCACCAGGATCTGAAATTAAGTTCTTTATACGCCATTGATTTGGGAAGCTCCATATAGAGTAGGATATAGTTTTCTTTCAACCTCAGCAAAAAAATTTGAAGGATAAATATGGACCGTCTAGCCCATCCGATTTATCTAAGAGACAAGTTTTTGTCTAGACACGTAAACATTTTTGAAAACTTCTTCTCCCTTTAAGCTTCAAAGTTCCTCAATGCAAATTTTTTCAGGGAACCAAATCCTCAGAAATGGTACAGAGAAACATACTAAATATCCAAATTTTAAATGTATGTTTGACTAAGCTGATCCATCAATTTTTTTTGTTAATCGTGTAACTTATTCCTTTTTTAGAGGGGCCAAGTTGTGCTGAACATAATCTTTTCTTCCTTCTTACCTGACGCCATTTTTCTTATACAAAACAGCAATAACATTTATTTAATAAAGCTACACCCATCTGTAACTAGCAACTTAAAAAAGTATTTGAATCGTATCCAGAAAGAATTGATGTGGAACCGCAGTGGTATTGAATTATCGGAAATAAATAACTGAAAGCAATATTTTGTCGATTTATTGTGTGTTCTCTATGATATGTTGCCATGTAGACGTGTTTCCATTGGAATGTCTCTCTAGTAAAAAAGAATGCGCGGAAACATATCTCGTCATCAAATGAAAAGTAGCATGATCGCCGCTCAATCGTAGCATTTAGCTATAAATCAGATTCTTAACAGCGATTATTTACGAACATTTTCGGCAAGTTTTTATGTTCTACTTGCCGTTGTCATTGAACCTTTCGTGGACTTGAGCCCACTCTAGAACTTTCTTCTGATTACTCCACTGACTTTACTGGGTTGACTTGTGACACTAATTTTTGTATATAAATCCTAAGGTGACACGAAGCTCTGTTTGGAGGGAAATGCGACAGTCTGTGTATTCCGACGAGCCTACTTTGAGATTTCTCAACGCAAATCTCCATCGAAATAAGACAGCACAAAGTGTCGCCTTTTCTATTCTAATCGACAACTGCGAGAGTGGAACAGCAGGCTGTCTGTTGTCACTGTATCCCAGTTCGCAATTGGCAGCCGGGTCATCACCGTGGCCGCTAGATGACGACGATTCTGGTGATATAGTGGATACGGCTATTCGTCATTGAACAGACTAGTAATAGGTGTATATTACTTCCGACCACAGATAACCCACCGTGTATAACTCTTTCGTGCTTTGTGGCAACTCCTGGATGCTGGTTTCAAATAAGGTTGTAAAAAAATTTCCAAGTTTCATAAGAAATTCGTACTCTACACAACCGTAATTTATTCACGTTTTCGTCTAACCTGGACTCGGAATATTTTCTTAACTCTTTCTCAATGTTGGACCTTTCAACATTAAGACGGTTGCAAAGAACTCCAATTTAGAATACATGGTAGCTTCGACAAGCATTTAGAGTACATCAAGTAGTTTTCCTGATGCATTCCTGCTAACTTACAATATGTTGTGAACTTTTATTAATTTTATCTATAATCAAAAAATGATCTTCGAATAATACTTCATGAACTGAACCACCCCTTGTGTACACAGTACCACATATCAACACTGGCAACATCGCTCTCCTAAATAAAACCGGCACGGCAGCACCGTCTTAGGTACCAGATGCGCTAGTCGTACTTCGTAGGCGAGTTCATGGCCGGTACTGGTGCTGCCTGACTGGTAACTGGTACCACTCCGCTTCGTTCTTTAGTCTTCAACGGAGAATGAGAAAAATGTCCGTGGTTTCTTGAATCGGATGGACGTTAGGTAGATTTAGGTGAGTACTACTTAAGTACCATTTGTTTCCCAATTTTGTTAGGTAAATCATTTGGAATAATCGAACTCTACAGTGACATTTTACAGTCGAGAAAAGTTATAACTTAGGAAGATCGATATTTTAATCAACCTTTGTCACATTTTGATACTCACTGTATAACGTATATATGTATAGTTAAGCAGCACTTGACAGATTTCAACCGTGTTGCAGCTTAGCTTAAACGTAGTTTTCGGTATCTTGCTGCCACTGACGCTTCTAAATTTATAGAATCCATCTTCGTGATAATTATTTAGATAATTATTAAAATTAAAAAATATATATTTCTGATAGATACTCTGCCCTGATGGTCGATGGTGCTGGCAACAGAATGAAAAGAGGCTTTTGTTTTATATAACACATCATAAGAGCTTTCGTAAAAGGTACAACAGATGTGAGATGGGAAAAACAAAAAAAAATTGATAGCCTACTTACAATGACGTTCAAATCAAATTAGTTGTAAAACAACTGCCTTACAGTCAGGTGATATGATTTTAACGATTCATGCCTGCGCATCTGGTGAGAGGTAACTTTCACCTGTGTGTAAACATTAATAAGATGATCATTACATCACTAACAATGATAATAAGTGGTCTCTACACGTATAAACTACACATCATTAAACGAAGACAAAACTATAGCATATTCATAATTTTGTGGGTTTTCAATATTGTTAATTTAACTTAACTTAAGTTTTGTGACAAAGAATAGAGGTTTTGGTATCAAGCTAGAAACAAAGCTAGTAGTAAGTAGTAAAAGGTGCAGCTATAAGCTTTTCAGTGGCACGACTCAAATACAAAATGTTCTACGGTCACATGATTCTTTGTTGTACCAAATTATTTTAAGGAGCACGCTGCTCTCGAAATTCAATATAATATGTTTTAACAAAGAATGTTCTATTCACAGATTAATGACGATGCTAGCTGGACCAGTCAGAAGATGCAAAAGACTTGTACCCGTATTATTCTTTTTCCTCACCTTTGTGATATTTTTTGTATGGAAATTGATTCAGCTGACTAGACAGAATGAAGTTCATCCTAAGCATCTGTATAGGTAAGTATTGAAGATAAGATCAAAATGTGATCTTCGTGCTCGAAGAGACAATCAAAACAGACGAATAAACATTCAAAGAGAAAGAGGTTTCAAAATAATCGGAATATGAGAAACTGATCAACTTGTAGTTTCCCTCTTAAGAAACTCTTTAGTTAGTTATGTTAAAACAGTTCATAGCTTGATTGTGGTGACAGAAGTAGAAAAATTTTTTGCGCCAATAGCAGATGAATAAAGAAAATGATTTAATAAAAACGAGCCTGAGACATGGAAATTATCTCGGGTAGTTTATAAATATTCAGAATATATTAAAGCTAAAGTTCGATAGGGTCCATATACGATGGACGGACCATGACACGCTATTTTCTTCGTAAGGCCAATTATTAAAAGTTAATGAAAGTCGTAGGTATAACCATTTGATGATAAATTCATTTAACTCACACACACTTACACTCATCGAAATCAAGTACACACATGCGGTGGTGAGTCGTTTGCATCCTTATTTTGTCAATGCGGTGCCTCGCTTTGCCGATATCGGTTATAGCCGTTACAATTATAATCCTAGCTCACAGCAAAACGTGAGTTTTTAAGTGGGCAAACTATTATTTTATTTAATATTTTCAATTGTAAATGTCGATCATCATTTTGGCCTTACATAAGAAGGCCATTTTGGTCGGATAAAATTATTATTGATGAAAATTATAAAGTTTATTGGCAACCTAGTGAGATCCATATAAAATTACTTTCACGAATACATTCTTAGCTTTACGTTTAATTTATGTTATTTGAGTATTTTTAATGAGAAGATAATATTGTAAGTATCCAATATCTCATCATGATGTAATTTGAGTTGTATAAGCAGATATTTTTATCACAGCCCCAGTCAAAGTCAAACAACTGATATTAAATTAGCTTTGTATGGAGCCTTGTTCCTTGCATAGCTGTTTGGGAGAATTTGAAAGAACATAAATGAGAATAATGAGTAAAATAAAATATTCTAGAAGCTATATTATAGAACAAAGTATTACTCCATGATTTATTTGTGACATTTATTCAGTAAATGAAGGAATGAAAACTGTTTATACCCAGTTTATTTTCTTCTTAATTTTTGTACCTATTTTAGGAAAAAATCTGCAGAAGATTTTAACGATAACAGTAGGATAAAAGTCATAATAGGTCACTATGTAGGCAACTCAATTGATAAAGTGCCCAATGCCACAAAAGAAATGATCAACCAAAACAGTTTTAATCCAGTACCAAGTGCAGGCAAAAATGGGCGGCCAGTGGTTGTAGATACCAAGGACTTCATTAAAATGCGACAGCTGTATCAAATTAATAGGTTCAACTTGATGGCAAGTGACAAGATTCCACTGAACAGGAGCTTACCAGATTTTAGGCGGAAGAAGTGAGTATGAGAGAAAAACGCTAAAATAGTGCCGTGGTTGTGCAAAGGTTTTTACACTCTTCACTATTGTCTGCATTCTCTTGACAAAAGTATGTTTCCTGCGAATTAAATGGCATACGATGATGCTTTGGAAGCTGCTACTAGGTACATGGCTATATTAACCATATCTTTTCTAAAAATACATTGAAGAATTGGTCCTTTATTTTTTTTTTAGTACATCTGTATGATGCTACTAGTACATTTTAATTGTCTCACACAATATTTTTCTGTGAACTTATATGATATTCGAGTATCTCATCTTCATAAATTTCATACCAATAAACTGTATTGTTGACTAAAAAGTCAAAAAAGTTGATAGAAGAAATTGAATACGCAGACAATTTCATTTCAAAGCTGTAATTTTGTATAATAATGGAGTTAACCTTAGGTTTATGATTTTAGTTAGTTTATAACGTTTTTATTCACTTTTCAGGTGTTCTGGGCTATTCACGGATTACAAAACCTACCCAAATACAAGCATAATCATCGTATTCCACAATGAAGCCTGGTCAACCCTCTTCCGGACTATATGGAGTGTCATAAACAGGTCACCACGAGAATTACTGGAGGAGATAATTTTGGTGGACGATGCTAGTGAGAGAGGTAAAAGGTGCACTTTAGTTTGGGAGATAATCTCAAACAACCTGCGTTTCATCATAAATTACATGCTCAAAGTATGAGCTAAGTTATGAGTGTGTAATTTTAAAATCTATTTTTTCGAACACGACTTCGTTTCATATAGCAAATAAAGAAATGGAGGTTTTGCTTTAAGAAAGTCTCAAATCTTAAGGCATAATGTCGAGGAAGAGTTCAAAACTTCCTACGAATCTGCAGTCTCAGTCCAAATTGTTTTTAAGGTAAACTGAGAGCGTCAGCTTTTTTGTGAGATCGTCAAGAAGCCCCAAGTGTATCATTTTTCCGCAACAAGTAGGATTCCGCGACACTTTTCTTCCTACGCCACTGATCAAGGAAGTATTGTAATAGCGAAAAATATTGCAAATGTACATTAGAGTACCGCTCAGATTTTGATGAAATTTTCATATAAGATTGCTAGTATGCCAAGAAAAACGGATTTCGCTCAAATTCGGCTTTTTTGAGCGTCCTGATCATTTTCAGGAAAAAATGAATACGGGTTGAAATTCGGGGGCTGGAGGCTGTAGAGAGTGGGGGAGGGAATATAATACGTCTAGACCTGTAGAGAAATGTGCTCGATCCGTGTACTCCTGCTATTTAAGTTCAATGCCCGGCGAACCGGTCTGGCTGATTAATCTATCCGAACTGCAGAGAGAGAGAGGGAGAGAGAACATATACACGGATCATGCACGAAATGAACGATAACTCCCTGTAGCAATGCAGCGCTGAGCGCAGATGTGGAAATGGCAGTGAAAGAATGTGTAGGGGAGTAGTGGCATGAAAGAGCCAGTTTTATAGACGTAGCAAAAAAATATACTTTTAATGAATGAAATGATTATTTTTTTAGTCAAACTATTATTTATTTATTAAAGTATATATTTCATACAAAAAATCTAAAATACGGTATGTAAAACCAATGAAATATACGTTTTTTAAAAATGTGTCATTTGGCTCTTTCATAACATTTCGGTATTGAAAGAGCCACTAAAAGTAATGAAAGGACCAGCTTGTATTATAACTTGAAATTGTGAAAATTATACAAACTAATAAGTATACACTATTAAAAAACAAATGAAAAGACAATTCTAACAAATTCTTTTTAAAAACTAATGATATTTTATAATAAATATAAACTTAACATATTAGAGGCGGATTATTTTTTATCAATAACTGTGTTGAAATTAAATAAAACAACAAATAATATCTTTTATCAAAAACAAAATCGTTAAATCTATCAGAACAGAATATAATGCGTATTCTTCAAATTAGAAACATGTCTTGCAAAAGAAATTAAGGTTCCCCTTAATACCACATCATTCATGAGCCCAACCAGAACAAATTTTGCACTGAAACCAATCTTGATCACCGTCTTTATATGTTTTGCTGCAAACTACACAATCATCACTATTGTTATTTGTCTTTGGGTTTATTTTGCTTCGAACACCCTTTGTTTTTAAATCAGCCAATACGATAGAGTCAGACGAATCAGAGTCATCTTGCAGAACGGAATTTTCTTTATTTATTTCTGATTTTATTTGAATCGTTTTTATGGAGTCTTTTGTAGTCATTTTCTTAACAGTAACTTTTGGTTTCTTTGCAGTATACTCTTTCTCCTCTATTTTTTTCCTTTCGGGCGAGTCGGTTACGATAGCAGATGACATTTTTCTATTATTTCGTTTCGTGTTTTGTCTTGGCCTCGCTTTAGAAAATGGTCTTATCATCTCCGGTGATATAATTCGTTGACTCGGATTTGCAGCCGTGGGGGTGGAGGTTGAACGGTGAGAGAGTCTGACATTATTAGAATCTCATTTTCTTCGCCAGGTTCAAGCGATTTTGTAGAAGATGGAGGTGTTGTTTCTAAGTTTCTTTCCATACTTTCCTTATACAAGTTCAAACCATCGTTTGACTGCGGATCAAGTCTATCAGTCACATATGAAGATAAAAATGCTTCCTCACTAAATATATTAGAATTTAATGGATAAATTCCTGTTTTCAAAAATCCTTGTGTTATATTCTGTGGACTGAAAGCTGACAAATATGCTTCTTTTACAAATTGCCCAATTTGATAAATAGTAACTGTTTTTCCAGGGTTCGTCAACATCCATTCATTCATGGCAGTGCGGTACGTAGTTTTGAAAGGCCCATATACTGTGATATCTAGTGGTTGCAGTTTATGACTGCAGTGTGGTGGGAATGTAACTATTATGATGGAGTTTTGTCTGGCAAATTCAACCACTCTGGGATTTACATGAGAGGTGAAATTATCCATTAATATCAATGCTTTTGATGGCCTGACATGTATTACAAAGTGTTCAAGCGCTTTCACAAAACAGTCTTCAGTCATCCATCAAGAAACTTGAGCCAATCCTAGGACTCCTGGCGGACCATTATTTAACATAATATCTTTATAGTTTACTCTAGGAAACACAAAAACGGGCGGCAAAAAACCACCAGCAGCATTAGTAAAGAACAGAGTTCGGCTGAGGTAACTTGCCCAATTTGTTTCGAACCCCTTTCAGCTATGACCTTAGGAGGATTGGTGACGGTGCTGCAGCCTGTTTCATCGGCGTTAAAAATCCTATGAGAAGAAAATTTGTATCTTTGTAAAACAGTGTTTAATTTCTCAAAAAATGTGCTTACATTAGCTTTATTAAAACTTGTTGCACGGGATAGAGAAGTGCTTTCAGGTTTTCTCACAGTTAACTCTTTGTGTCTGCTCATAAACCCTTTGAGCCAATCATCAGTCGCAGTTTCAACTTCTTTCCATTTGGGTGGACAGATATCATTGGCTACGGCATAATCAAATCGTAGCTTCTTTGCTTGATGTCTTGTTAGGCCATGGCACATTTTAGATGCGGTCGTTAAATAATCTGCAAGCATATTCTCCTGTTCTGTTGTGAAAATACGCCTAGTCCCTATATTAGGACAGTGTTCATATGATGAATCGCCAGACGTCTTTACTTTTTTAACGATTTTAGCTAAGTAAGCCCTCGATATGTTTAAGGCAAGTGCAGTTCTGTTTATGGACTGACCTTTCTCCAAAACTTCACTGACTGCTTCTTCAATTACAGATTTTTCGGGTCTTTTTCGTTTTTTTGAGCCAGCCTTCTCCAAAATGCAGTATCTGAAGCAAATAATTCAATAATATATAAAAATACATATTTATTATTATAATAATTTGTTACTAAAACTTAACTATAGAGTTATAAAAGAGCCGGTTATGAAAGAGCCAGCTCTTTTAAGACCTATGCACCCGGCTCTTTCAAAACTTATTGGTAAAAAATATATAACCTTCAAAATAACAGCAATATAAAACCTTTTGCCGCTTAGTGTTTACGCAATTGCAAGGCCAATTATATGCACAAACTGAATCTATAATCCACATACTTATATTTGTTTACAATAAAATGCCAAAAAACTACTTAGATAGAGCAAAATACTTACTTTTGGATGCAAAAAATTTTGACTCGATGTACCGCCGCCTGTTGTCACTAGCCAACTGTCAAATGTTTGTGGGTGGCGGGAAATCAGTGCTGCCACCTTAAAATAAGATCACCCACCAAATTCGTTCCTAAACCACCGAAATAATGCAAGTGGCTCTTTCAAAACCTGGCACTTCTCCCCTACGGACTAATTGTATTCCATTGGCTTAGGGTTCAAACTGCGCCGAACGTAAGCTTTTATGAACTAATGACGTCGTTAAGTGGGAAGTGAAAAGCTAACGTACTTGACGTCGTTTTTTCGTAGCTCAAATTTAGCATCAGGAGATTCAAATTACCTAAGTACACCAAACCTTGTCTTTCCAAGCTTAGCGTTCCAGATAGGGATTCAAGTCAATTAGCTGTATATTCTTAGAAACTCATTTGCTTGACTTAAAAATAAAATTACTTGGCACGTTAATGCTTGACTTGAGTATTTTTCATTGTTCTACTTTACTTGAGGTCAAGTTTTTTGAAACAATTATATTTGTACAACCGATGAACTGTATTTTGTATTTTAAGGCAAATAATCACGAGTGGTGGAAAAGGCATGAAAATGTATTCCCAAACCTAATTTTGACAACAAGAGATTATTTATCGACACTTGCAACAGCAGCTTCTACCGAAACAGAGTTTGCTATGGCCGCACTGACGATTACGGAACCCCGTAATAAATCCGTTAGGATCCTCCTGACTTAACTCGTGGTTATCGAATAAAAAGCCGATTCAGAATTTTTCATTTATTTTTATCAGCTGTTGAAAAAATGTTTTACTCCTATTTGGGATTGCAGTTTTATCGTTATTTTATTCCTTATATTTGTTATACGATGATAACCTGCCAAAATGTCTTTCGGCTTTGTACTTTCTATTACGAAAATTATCAAGTTATCTCAAGACTACTTGAATTTGATCAAGTACCTGACGTTGAAAGTACATGACTTGATTTACAGTGCTAATATCTAGTGATTAACGTGAGCTTGATCTGATTTCAAGTTTAGTCAAGTCCATTAGCATTTAAATCAAGTCAAGTATCCCTAGATCCGAATTAGCCCAAATACCAAATATTCTCCACTTCCTTGCTTTATGTATTCTATATTTCCAGAGTTCCTGAAGAAACCCTTGGAAGACTACATTATAACCTTACCAGTCAAAACACGACTGCTACGAAGCTATCAACGAATCGGGCTCATCAAAGCTAGACTAAAAGGAGCTGCTGCAGCCAATGGTGAAGTCCTGACTTTCCTAGACGCTCATTGCGAGTGTACTATTGGCTGGTTGGAGAGTCTACTGTCTGTGATAAAGGAAGATAAGAAAACAGTGGTTTGTCCTGTGATTGATATCATCAATGATGATACTTTTGCGTATATCAAGAGCTTTGAGTTGCACTGGGGAGCTTTCAATTGGAATTTGCAATTCAGGTAACTACCTCATAATAATTTAACGCTATCATTCTTTAGCCATCTTTATTAGTAGTCTCTAATTTTTCCGTTTGTCTATTATCATCAAAAGGTGTAGTAGTGTAGTTTATGAATGCAACCTTAGGCGGTTGGATTAAGTGCCAAGCACGTTTAGACGTTGCTCCAAATTGCATCCACTATATTTCTAACTATAACTGGAAGCAAAAGAACCAGATACGTCAAAAGTGTGGAAAATATTTTTAAAATAACGATACTCTGGACGGAATCATGACTGAAATAACGACTTGGAATGATGAAAACGTGTGATGGCTTACTACATTATTGGAAGCACTAATGCTCAAACAGTGAATCTCGTCAAGTATTGCTAATTATGGCATCGGGTCTGTACAAAAAATGGTTTTGAAGACATCTGGGACGATATTTTGATCATAGTACATATCTAAACTGACGAAATGTTGGAATATTGAAACGAAACAGTATAAAATGTCACGCCTAGCCTCCTCCATTTTATTTGGCGCTAACTTAGGTTTTTATGCAGTTTCAGTTAGCGATAGAAACACGACACCTGTTTTTTACAATATTACGTATACAACAATTTTTACGAAGTGAATGATTAATCAAAGTATCAGTTTTTCGAACAACCAGTTAAAATGTTAGATAAGATGCTCATATTTTTCTATTATTTAGTACGTTATAGGTTAAGTTATTTGTGATTCATGATTCCCCACTGCGACTCACTGGTCTATTGTAGATCCTACACCTGTTTATGAAGGGTGTCTCAACAAGAGCGCCGGATTAGAATTTTCCGACATTTTTTTTTTGTACAAATGGTGTGCTGTTTACTTGTTGACAGCTGTCATCCCCAGATCACGGGATTAGACGTCATGGAGCAGAATTCAAGCGAGCAACGTTAAATTATTGTGAAAACTCACTGCAAGAATGTAGTTCGCAATTTTTGATAGCAATAATGCACCAAATAAGTCGACAGTTCGCCGTTTAGTTGCAAAATTCGAGACAACATTCACGTTGTTGAAAGTGAAGACCACTGCTCATCGCCGTCCTGGACGGTCCCTCGAAAATATAGTCGCAGTGCGGGGAAGTGTGGCCGAGAATCCAGGCACTTACATATGTATATGGCATCGTGGCTAAGAATTGAGCCTTACCCACTCTGCAATGAATTTGACAAAAGATCTGTGCTTGCTTGCGTACAAGGTTCAACTGACGCAGGAACTCAAGCCACCGTACCATGCGCAGCACCGTGAATTGACTGATTGGGCGCTGGAGCACCACCAAATTGATGCGGATTGCTCGATGAAAATCATTTTCGCTGGTGACGTGCATTTTCAACTGAAGGGGTACGTCAATAAGCAGAACAGCCGAATTTGTGGTTCTAAAAACCCTTCTGTAATAATCGAACAACCAATGCACCCGCCGCGAGTTACCGTTTGGTGTGCATTGTGGAGTGGCGGAGTGATTTGACCGTATCTCTTAAAAAATGCAGCTGGAACTGCCGTAACTGTTAATGGTGTGCGGTATCGCGAAATGTTAACCGAGTTTTTGTGCCCCCAGTTGGATCCAATTGATGTGGAGGATATGTTCTTCCCACAGTACGAGAAATGATGGTGTTACTGCGAACCAAGTTTGCAGACCGTGTCATTTCTCGGTTTGGCGATCAAAATTGGCCACCAAGATCGTGCGCCTTAAAGAAGAGATACGGCGCGTTATCGATGAAATAGAGTCACAGTTGTATGAAAACGTTATCCAGAATTTTAAGATATGTTTTGTGGTGATCATTTACCGGATGTCCTATTTCAGGTTTAATCCCAACTATTCCTCTTCATGTTGGAATATAAATATTCGCTTAATTAGAAACAAAGTTGTGTTTTTCTTGAAAATCAAATCCGACGCTCTTCTTTAGACTATTTCTCCCAGCTTCAATCGCATGATGAAATCGTTGAGCCTATTTGAATAGACATCTTTCAGCTCTTCTGTTTCGAGTACTGTTCCTCCAAGTGTTTTGCACTTACAAAAAGAAGTGCTTTTGGTTCCAGAATTGAGGTCTGTGTCTTTGATATATTCTTTAGACACGTTTCTTTGATTCATGCCTTGATTGCAAGACATATTTATTTGAAACAATGAAATTGTCAAATTTCAAGTACCAGCGATCTCGAATCAATGTCATAGTTTGATAGAAACTGAGCCAATATCACTCTTTCTTTGTATACCTGTTCTGGTGATTTTGCAGCATCTGCACAAAACGTGCTTAACCACTTGGTCTCCCTCCATGCACAGACTGCACTCAGTGTCTTATGCCATGCAGAGGGCGCGAATTGTTACTCTGTAAAAATTTCAGCGTTCGTAATTGTTTGCGTACGGAATTAGAACAAGGTAATCCTTCTGGAACGTCAAAAGTATACTTTTCTTCTCCTACTCAAAACCTTGGGAATAAAAGTGTTGCCACCCGTTATCCTCATGATTGATTGTTTGTTTACTTTATTTTCAAAAATTGTTCAAAATTCGCAGAGTATATATTTTTTACGATAACTGCGCTAACTCCATAGGCTTTCTTATAATACTAAAATGGTCGCAGGAAACGTGGTTAAAAATTAGTGGGCTGTCATCAAGTGTCATTACAATACTCTGTAATAATTTGGACGCTCTAAAAATAAAATTGCGCAGTATCGAAGAGTGAAATTTCGTCTGTCAATCTGCATTCCAGTACTCTGTGCGGGAGTACATCACCAAGTGACTTAAAAACGCACTCCAGCCTGCGCATGTGGTAACGCAGTGTCCACGGACAGTACCCGTTCTCACTACGGCTTTAAGGCAGCGCTGGTTTAGCCCCTATGGGGTGTGTTGACCCCACTCTTTGTCAGGATGTTGTCTGCTTTGAATCCCTTTGGACCTATGTGTCCTGGTATCCATATGATACGGAACTTATTTCGATCCCCTATGTAATTCCCTTCTTTACAATTCCATTCCAATTTCGATGTAGAGTACGTGGAGTCAACTGCTATAAAGTTCTGTAGCGTATAACTCTGGAAAATCGATGCCCAGGCTCCTAGGATGACTGATTCCTCAATCATTAGTCTCGAAACGGAGGTACCAGCTCCAACACCTACTTTGGTCTTGGAGCCATATGTGCATGCACAGTTACCTATTTTTATTAGGCCAGTTTACTGTTTCCACTCATTCCTTTGAGGCATTATCACTTAGTGGGGTCTGGCATATTTTGTTATCCCTAGATTCATATCAGAAAGCATTCACAGACTGTGGTAGTTCTATACGTCCACCAATATGTCTGTCTTCGCCATATTGATGTGGTCTGTCATTGCCACATAGTGTAGCTTGTGGGTTGCCCTTTCCTCGCCTCCCAGGTAGATGTTCAAGGAAGATAAGTTAAGAAAAACCTCCATAGCGACAGTTGGAGTGGTGCGTTATTTTGTTTTAGAGACTCACAAACCGGTTTTTTCCTAGAACGAATTTCTCACAGTCTGGCAGGGGTATATGTAAAAAACCTAAGAAACGCCAAAAAAAAACCTTCGAAAAATGTCATATTGCCGACTAGGTAGTTTGTTGTCGACAAGTACATTCCACGTTTTCTCGCTGTGATCCCTGTGCGCTGATGTTTAAGCAACAGGTACAGCTACAAAATGACTCCATAACAGGTTTACAACAGCTTGTGCCAAGTTATAATCTTGTAGAAAAACCTACGTTGTGTGACAAAAAACCTACGAAACTTAAAAAAAAAGAACGACGAACTATCACGTTTTAAGATACGTAATACCCGTTCCGAACGGTCATTTACAGTGGAACAGATCAATTTAGGGTGTAGTTCGGCAACAATATAACTGTAGTTAACAAAAATTTCTTGTTTGAAAGAACCGATTTTTTTTATACCGAAGCAGCCGCCAGGCAGAAGCTTAAAGGCCGGGATTCTGCGGCTGCTATGAGGGTCTCAAAGAAATTTTATTAATCCGATTTTTGAACTGCCTAAGGTTAACAGAACTGGGAAAAGCTTTCTCTTCTAGATCGTTCCACAATCTCGACACCCTCGGGACAAAGGAGCGGTCGTATCGGCCAGTCATGCGGAGAAAAGTACTGCTTAGCCCTAAACAAATAGCCAGTTTTCACTGGGCCCAAAAGTGCTCAAGCTTGAATAAGACACAATGAAGAAGTTTGCAAACGTTTGATAACTACTCTTCAACTAATTTTCACAAATTTAACGAATTTTCATCAAACTCCTCAAGACACGTTTAATGTTAATATTACAGTCCTTTCAGGTGGTATACACTTGGTGGCAAAGAAATGAAGTTGAGAAGAAAAGATGCCACACTACCATTCAATACTCCTGCAATGGCTGGTGGTTTGTTTGCCATCGATAAACAGTTCTTTTTCGACATTGGCTCATACGATGACGGAATGAATATTTGGGGAGGAGAAAATCTTGAAATGTCGTTCAGGTTTGTAAAACAGCTTAGGTATATTAAATTTAGAAGGTTTCGGGCCTCACAGTGTACATAAACTGATATTATTGAATGCCCTTGTCTAACAAGAAGCTTATATCTTTCCTAATTGGCTTGGATTATTACGTATACCATCATCGTGTACAGACAGAGTTCTTTACTTTAAAGACATCCTGAAATAATCAAAGAGGGGAGATGTTAATAACCTGTAGGTGTGGTGTGTTCATAAATCCTGCTATAAGTCAATTTATCTGATGAACCTTTGAACCCAGTTCTCAGGGAATGAAAACGTGTAGAGTAAAATTTTCATGTCAATTTAGAGATATAACATAAGGTGATAAAAGATCCATCTTAATTCTCCAAATGGGATTTCAAGACGTTTTATTTTACCGAAAGGATGGCATCGGTATATACTCGTAGATACATTGGGGCGCCAATTTTCAAAAAAGTTTGTGTGTGTGGAATATCAACAAAAATCCGCTTCTTGTACGAGCCAAATATGTACTCGTAGATGGATCTGTTATCAATTTTTCGCTGAGATCATCGGAAGAGACCAAAAAACCCATTTTTCTAACTAAGATCAGTTTCTAGAGCAGACGTATGTAGATAATTCTCCAAATGGGATTTCAAGACGTTTTATTTTACCGAAAGGATGGCATCGGTATATACTCGTAGATACATTGGGGCGCCAATTTTCAAAAAAGTTTGTGTGTGTGGAATATCAACAAAAATCCGGTTCTTGTACGAGCCAAGTATGTACTCGTAGATGGATCTGTTATCAATTTTTCGCTGAGATCATCGGAAGAGACCAAAAAACCCATTTTTATAACTAAGATCAGTTTCTAGAGCAGACGTATGTAGATTTTGAATCTGGTGTCATTTTTTCTCTGAAATTAACGTAAGACACCAAAAATTTTCATCCCGAATAAGGTTTGGCTACTAACTTAAGCGACTACGATGTTGAAGCTTGATAAAGTTATTGTTAATACTTGATTGATAATTTAGTCATTTGTATTTCAGGATATGGCAGTGTGGAGGTCAGGTACAGATAGCACCATGCTCACGTGTTGGTCACATATTTAGAAAATCATCGCCATACTCATTTCCAGGAGGTGTTGATAAAACTCTTTACTCTAACCTTGCAAGAGTCGCATTAGTATGGATGGATGAATGGGCTAACTTTTATTTCAAGTATAACAAGGAAGCTAGGTGAGTGACCTTTGGATTTTCGAGGAACAGATTATGCTGTACTGCCTAGTACAATGATATGGCTCTTAGCACAATAAAAGAAAGGGGCCATGAGGCTTTAGCTCTTGTTAAATGGTATTAGTTCGTTAGTCTGTAGTCTGTCAGGTCTGATAGCGCAGAACATACAAGAGATACAAGACTTTATTTGAAACTATAGTTCAGTTAATCATACTGGGTGTTTCAAGTTCGACGCTCACCATTGGAATCCGGAAACGGTAAGAAATACGAAGTCACTTAAACTGGGGCAAAGCTGCGAGATTAGATAACTAACAAAATGCCGCTTAGGAAGTTTCGAAATTCAGAGCACATCCGGAGGGAGACGGAAAAAACCGAATTTTCCCTAAATCGTATTGATTTTTTCCTGACCTTACTTTACCCTCGACGTCTAATCTGGCGTCTTCATGGCATGATTGGAATTTCAATATGACGTTTCGTTTCTTGTTCTCCATCATCAGCTTTCTTTTTTCTTAAGGATGCCTTATTGAATTTTCGCACAGGTAAATAAAGTTTCAATTCTGACTCCAAAAATATATAATATGCCAAACCTTAGTTATTACAAAAAAAAAAACAGAATTGCGTAGATAGGTATTGAAATTATCAGTCAATTGTTTTATCGCTAAATCACTTTTACTGTTTGAGACGGCACTTCAAAATAAATTGCATGTTGTTATTGGCACTTTTTTCCTCTGTAGGATGACGAAATCAAACTTTCAATACGAGGTAACTATTTGCATTCGAAACACCAACTTTGTTTTTTCATATGAACGCTATATTTTAATCTTGTATGTTTTCAATCCTAAATTCAGTGATGGAGTTTCTTAGTTGGCCAAGAATTTGATGTTTGAACGAAAATACTATACAGAAATAATAAGGTATGGTTAATTTATGCACAGGGGGCATATGACAGTTTTGAAGACCTCAAATTGTAGTTACAGAGTAACACAGCCTGGAAGACCGAGAATTCCGATATAGTATCCATACGAGAAAACAAAATTGTTGATTGAAGTTAAAAGAATAAACCTTGAACAGTGGCAATAACAGCATACACTTTATTTTGAAATGCTATCTCAAATAAGGGAAAAATAAGAAATATTTTGCGATAAATCTGGTATATGAAACGAATGACTATCTGATAATTTCAATGCCTACCTAGGAAACAGTTTTTTCAAATACTCGAGCTTTGGTAATGTCAATGTATGACATATAAGTATTTGTAATCAGTGCAAAAAACAAATATGGCGTCCGCAAGAAAAAATAAAGTTGATGCTAGTGGACAAGAGGTAAACATCATATTGAAATTATAATTATTGTATCTAGTAGAGGAGAAAAAGTGGCAATGTTAATTTGCAATTTATATTAAGTGACATATACATCCGAACACCCAGTTTAAATGGTTTTATTTTAATAAAATTTTGTATAAGTACTTAATGAAGCATAATAAGTAAATGATAAAAATTTCAAAATGATTGCACTGCTTTAAAGCCCTTTGACCTTTAATAATGTGTGGATGCACCCTGATGTGCTACGCATTCTCCAACGCGCCTAGGCATGCTTCTGATCAGGTGGTCAATGTCCTCCTGTGGTATCTCATTCCAGGCAACCACCAACTCCTCTCGAAGTGCTTCTAGAGTCTGAGGAGGACGTTGCAAATTGAGCAATCACCTACACATCATATCCCACACGTGCTCAATTGGGGATAAGTCGGGTGATCTTGGTGGCCATGGTAACAATCTGACATCATTATGTTGAAAGAAGTCTATTGTGACTCTTGCAACATGTGGTCGGGCATTAACTTGTTGGAAAGTTGGATCTGTCAGGGTGTCAAGATAGGGTAAAAGATGGGGTTCTAGAACTTTTTGGATATAACGCTGCGCGTTCATGTTACCTCTGATGAAGATTAAAGGTGACCTGGAACCATAAGCTATAGCACCCCAAACCATAACTCCAACAGTGTGATGAACATGTCTTTCAACAAAAAACTGTGGATTCCTCCTTTCACCACGTCGCCTTCTAACCCTGGCACGACCATCGTGCATGCCTAAACAAAATCGAGACTCGTCACTAAAGACAATACTGTTCCATTCCTGATCCCAGAGTGACCGTTGCCTGCACCACTCAAGGCGATTACGTCGGTGTTCTCGAGTTAAAGGGAGGACCCAGTGTGGCCGCTATGAAAACAAGCCAAAACTTCTCATTCGTCGGTAAACACTTCGCATGCCAATAGGTCTTCCGTGTTCTGCAAACCATTCATTTGCAATGGACCTGGTAGTGGAGAAACGGTCCCTTAAGGCCAATAATCTTAGGCGGCGATCTTCACGGTCTGTTGTTCTACGGCGGCGTCCAGTGCCCCTTGCTCTTTGCGTACCGCCTTCTCGAAGCCATGCCTGACAACACCTAACCACAGAGTCTACACTTCTTTGCACTCTAACTGCAATTGCCCGAAAAGAAAGTCCAGCTTCCCGAAGTCCCACTATACGGCCCCTATCGAACTCACTAAGTTGACGAAATCGTACAGGTCTCCATACTCTAGGCATCGTAACCGATCGTAAAGGATGTCAAGAACCAAAATCCACCAACGTTGATTCTTTACTGCGGCTGAAATACTCATTTTTAGAGCGTTAGTGAATTAAAAAAAGGCAGTATAAAAACCGGAATGTCCAACTGATAAGGCTGAAAATTTTTTCACTTGTTATTTTCACCAACTTTTATTAAAATAAAACCATTTAAACTGGGTGTTCGGATTTATATGTCACTTAGTATATTTTGGAATTCCACTACAAGTAGATACAGAAAAAATTAAAACGATTTTGGCAAAAATTAAGTTTTTCCAACTCTCTTCGAAAATTTTTAAGCGGCATTTTGTAAGATACCTAAATACGCAGCTTTTCCCTCATTTAAGCGACTTCATATCTCTTAACGTTTACGAGATCCCAATGGTGAGGGTCGGATTGGAAACACCTGGTATATGGAACTGTTGTATCACACCAAAGATTTGAAAGAAAGTATAAATAGAAATATTTGTGGTTTAGCTACATGAAAGGCGATCAGAACGTCACAGCAAGAGTGGAGCTTAGAAAGAAGATGCAGTGCAAGAGTTTTGAGTGGTACCTAGATAATATCTGGCCCCAACACTTCTTTCCTAAGGATGACAGATTCTTTGGGAGAATAAGAAATCTTGCAGAAAATAAGTGCTTGATTAAGCCTGATAAGAAGGGAATGTCTAATCAACCTATGGGAATTGCCAAAATCGAAAAGTAAGTACCAAAGTCAATGAGTACCTTTATAAGCAAAAACTGCAGAGTCATTGAGAAGTTAAAACATATCGGATACTCTTGCTAAATGCGCTATCTGCGTTCAGAGGTGATTCAATCGGTTTTGCATTATTCTGATAACTGTGTAAAAGTCGTAATTTTTCGATTTTTTATATTGGGTGAATTAGACCAACTTTTTCAAGAAGTTCACATTGTAGAAGCCTAACCTATTAATATTAATAGGTGGTCAACGCTGGTTTTGCCACACGAACTTTGACAGCTAATTTTGTTTTATCAGTCTACCCTCATTATTACATGACAGCTGTCATATGTCTATTAGCCTCATATTTGTTGTGATACGGTAATACTCATAACTAGTACTACGGCAGTAAATTAACAGAAACGCTTACAAGTAAATCCTTATAAAAATATTTGTTGTTGAATTTGACCACTTTTTTGTGATTTATTAACCCTGAATATGTTGAGGAAGTGTAATAATGATCCTAACTCTTTTTGTTATGTCTGCGGAGAACTAACATTCAAAAAACAACGACGAAATTTTACGAATCTTGTGTTGGAGTGTTATCACCAATGTTTTGGTTTTTCTGTCGCCCATCAAGACAAATCCTGGGCCCCTCATGTCTGTTGCATAACGTGTGTGAAAAATTTAGCAGACTGGAAGAAAGGTGCACGACCTATCCCGTTTGCTGTACCCATGATATGGACTGAACAGCGAGATCACGTTTCAGATTGCTATTTTTGTCTCACAGACATAAAAGGTATAAGTTACAAGAAAAAAACCACAGTTATTTACCCTAACTTATCTTCGGCTATAAGACCAGTCTCTCATTGTAAAAAATTGCCAGAACTAATACCAGTTGCAACTACGTCTGTTGCGAACAATTCACAACCGTCCACTTCAGGTGAATGTGTTGACGAGGACGATGACTTTGAGTTAAAAGGAATTGTAAACGAGCCACATTTGATAACTCAAGGAGACCTAAATGATTTGGTTCGGGATTTAAATTTGTCAAAAAAGCAGTCAGAACTATTAGGATCACGTCTAAAAGAATGGAATTTGCTACATCATAATACAAAAGTTAGCTATTCTCGAAACCGTGATCAACACTTCAGAACGTATTTTTCTCAGGAGATCTCATGGAGATTTGGTGTTTTGCAATAACATAAATGAGATTATGAAAATGTTGGACATGGATTTTGATCTCTCTCAGTGGCGTTTATTCATTGATTCTTCGAAAGCAAGTCTAAAAGCAGTGTTATTGCATAATGGAAATAAGCTTCCGTCTGTACCTCTGGCCCATGCTGCAGATATGAAAGAAACCGATGAAAATATGAAACTTTTACTTGAAAAAATAAATTACAGTACATATTCCTTCAAAATCTGCGGTGATCTTAAAGTTGTTGCACTATTACTTGGACTTCAGCTGGGTTATACAAAGTTTTGCTGCTTTTTATGTGAATGGGATAGCCGAGACAGAACTAATCAGTATATAAAAAAAACATGGCCTTCGCGTGCATCGTTAGTTCCTGGGCAAAAAAACGCAAAGTATTTACCCCTTGTACAGCCAAATAATGTGCTTCTACCACCATTGCATATCAAATTAGGATTAATAAAAAAATTTGTGAAGGCAATGGATCGCAATGGCAGTGGATTTTTGTATCTAAAAGAAAAATTCCCTAAAATAAGTGATGCAAACATAAAAGAGGGTATTTTTGTTAGCCCTCAAATTAGGGAGTTAATAAAAGATTCAAGATTTGAAGAAAAATTAAGCGATTTAGAAACATCTGCATGGAAGGCTTTTAAAAATGTTGTTGCAAATTTTTTGGGTAACCACAAGAGTGACAGCTACAGAGAGTTGGTTAGCGAGCTATTATTGTCATATCAAGCATTGGGTTGCAACATGTCACTTAAGATACATTTTTTAGACTCCTGGATTTTTTTCCTGACAATTTACGGGCTGTCAGCGACAAGCACGGTGAGAGGTTCCATCAGGACATTTCTAATATGGAGAAGCGGTACCAGGGCAAATGGAGCCCAAATATGTTAGCAGATTACTGCTGGACAATTAAAAGGGACCAACCAGAAGCTAAATATTCAAGAAAATCTTAGATTATTAAGTCATTTATAAAAAAAAACTTTTGATTTACGAGATCTGTGTTTTTTCTTAATATTTTAAATTACTCAATAGAATAAAATCCTTGTCTAGCAAATTTTTTTTAACTGTTTATTTTTTCTTACAATCACCAATTAAAGTAAAAAATATCAAAAAACTCCGTGTGGCACGACAAAGTTAAAATTTTGTTGACCAGTATAATTACTTTATTTATGATCGAAATATTGAACTTTGATATTGACAATTTTTATTTTTTCAGATGCTTCGGTGATGACTTTATCGTTGAGATGTTCGTGATGACCAATGAAGGATTTGTCATGACAGATGACTCCATCTGTATGGACGCACCCGAAAAAGTGGTACCAGGACCACAAAAGGTGCGAATTACAGCATGTAGTGGATTCAGCAGACAGAAGTGGGAATACAACCAAGAGGTAGATCTAGTTTGCTTATCATTCACCTATATCTCAGATTTCAGCTTAGAAAAAGACCAACCACCTTAAAGCTGACGTTATTCTAAATCCAGCCTGGGGAAATGGTGAAATAACTTTCATTTTGTTTGGTTTTGACGAAATCGGTGTACATTGTCTTTAAGTAATGCTAGGAGCTTCTCACCACATTTTATATCTTTGATGGCACTAGTAAATAGACAGCCAACCTGCATGCCCTGGCAATTTGGTTACTTTATTATAGTGCTGTATAAATCGAGAAAGACACAAGGTTCACCTTTGTTTCAGAGCAAGGAGCTGCGTCACGTGACTAACCAAAAATGCCTCGACATCAGCAGCTCCAAAGAGTTTTCGGAAGGATTGGTAATAACGGATTGCAATGGCAGCAATTCTCAAAAGTGGATACTGGAAGCAGTTCAGTGGAAATAGTGATCAAGTTCATTGGGCGATGATACGGAAAGCATTGCTGTGAAGTTCAACGGAGATGGTCATCTGAAATGCTCTGAAGAAAGTGCTCTGACTGTGAGGGTCACACTACTTCCGGAGACTGGGTTTAAAATAAGGTGGAAACATGAACAGGAGGGAAATGTGGTACAGAAAAAAATAAGCTTTCAGTTTATGCCCGCTTATATACAATTGTGATAACACTAGTCTATAAGTAACTAGATCTGATGAATGATCATTGAACGAGTATGTACATATTTGTGGAGTTTGCGTCTACTATAGGCTAAAATAAAAAATGAATCCATTAAGAACATGTGCTTTATTACATACGAATAGTTGGAACACATTCTAATTAACTTCTGACATGAAGGAATTCTCATTTGATTGACAGTTTTAAAAAAGAGACGTATCTGTAGCTCAGTCTTATATGGAGTAAAACTGACAAGATTTCTATGGTAGAAAGTACTGGCACGGATAAAAAACTGCATATAAACATAGCTCTTAAAATGTGTTGTAAATTTCTACGCCACTGATTAGATAAAATGAGGACAAGACATGAACATTGTTGAAATCGCGATGAGCTAGAATTACTCTCTTAACGCACTGCATACAATATTCAATACAAAACTAAAACATATTTTGAAAGTAGTTTATGCTTCAAATATTCAACACAATCTTCTTTCAAAAGGAGGAGTCTGACAAAAAAGATAGGCGAAATTTGTAACAATGAATACCGTAATCAAAAGTGCCATAGATATTTCAAGCAGGTTGCGGCATAGTAAATAATTTTATTTCTTTTCCTGTAGGGTTCAAAATTTTCCAATTTCTAAATCACTACTGAGTCGATATTCTTTTCCATATATTGTTCATGATATCAATGCCAGAAGAAGAAAATTGAAATTTCAACATCCTGTATCTCGACAAGGGAGCATTTTAAGATCCATGTTCATAAATGCTTTATGTGATATTTTATATTCTACTAGAAATGTTGCCACATTTTTATGAAACATCCTATGCGGATTTTTAAGTCAAGAGACAACATTCTCGTTCTTCAAAAGGCACAATTTCATATTCGCTTTCGACGCAATGGGTTTTGAGAACGAGAATACCACAGATGCCAAAACCGAGAAACCTCAACGCACGATTAAGCGAGGAACCCCGGAGACTTCAACGATCAATGAGAAACGGAACCCAAACAATCTCGACATGCTAAGCTAGTACAACTTCGGAAGTTGATAATCAATAATATGAAAACAGTTTTTATTTTTAAGGAGAAACAAGTGAAAGAACAGCTTGCAAGCTGGCATTGGGGAACTTGCTATTGACACTCATATTCGTGCTATATAGGTAGTACCCAACTAACAATTATCACTCCTATTAGAGTTGCAAGAATGATTATACAGTATTCCTTACACAGCATTGTATACTGTAAGAACATTGGCAAAACCCTCTTAGAACAGCTATACAAATGGAATGAGCACACCTAATATTACACTTCAGTCATTTAAGAGGTTGTATAAGGGCTGCAGGTAACAGTTATACAACAAAAGTGTAAGCCTCTTGCAGCCGCTATAGAATATTTGCGTCAGTGCAAGATTCAGTTTTTGTCAACTTTACAACTATTCTGTTACGTGATTATACTTTATTGTAATCAAACTATTTCTTATGTATTGTATAGACGATGTGAAGAATATATAACTAACACAATACAGTCATCTTGTTTACTTACATATCGGCCATTGTGAATTTCATACACAGGTATCTGATAAACTTCTACACTATGATGTAGGGCTATTGAATTACTTGCGCAGCAAATTTTATTGTGATTATCGTGCAAAGTAGTTACGCAATTTCTACGGGCTTCGTATTTGATTCATATTTTGATAATGATCAAAAGTATGTCTAGATTTTTGAGATGGAAAACTGAACTTATCTGCGTTAAATCTTCCACAAATCCTATATTTAGACACAATTACACTAATGTTTATCTCTTTATATCTGTAATTTCGAACTGAAACATAATTATTTAATATTAAATACAGGAATAAATGTTTGTCCAATATGGCGGGTGGTTGTGTACAATCATGGCATCGTCCATGTTGTCTTTAGTTTATTAGAATATTTTGGTGTTGCCTACAGGTGTTATACAAGAATTTGACAAATGGCAGAAATGAAATACCGACAGGGTCGAATGATTTACCTAGAATTTCTACCAGATCTATATCTTCTGTTTGAACAGTTGATAAAACCTTTTTAACCAATATGCATGCGTTGTTTGTCTTAAAACATTGGTTATGGCATTTTAACTAAAATATGACAGCAGAAAGTTAGGTTATGGTGAAGTTGTATACCAACATATTTAGCAGTGACTAAACAACAGTTGTATAAGTGCTTCCGTTGGGAGCAATTTGTTGGCTAAAGTAGTAAATTTGCACAGCAAAACAACAAGGCTCGGGTTTGTTTTATAAACGTTACCATGGATGCCACAACACAACCATTTTGACTAACCTGCAAATATGCCGTATAAAATAGTTGTATAAACGTTTATACGCATCAGTTAAAAATTTGTCCTATAAGGTGTTGTGCAACTATGCTATAAGAATATTTTAAACACCTCATTTTAGAGAAAATATGTTGCAGAAAGCAAATTTGCATTCCACACAACATTAAGCCAGCATTTTGGTGTTCAGGCAACAACAATAGAGAGCTTTTATGGCTGAACGGTTCTTTTACCAAAAGCTTATAGCACTACTTTGCTAGTTGGGTATACTCGTACCGTTTTTGTCATTTTTAACGGATAAAATATTCAGTTTCAAATTTTCCAGTGTGCATATGGATTTCGGGGTATTTAGCTCGAACTGATGTGAACATGAGCATGTGGGTTTCGAATACTTTTTCGTAGAGTTGCAACATATAAAGCAAATACTATGTGTTTTGCAGTTGAACGCGCTCATTCAGAAATATGCGACGTACTTGGTCTGTTGTATAACCAACTGGGTGCATGATTGCTTGTCATTTATATCAGAAACATTATTTTAATTCCTATCACGAACGACATTTTTCAAGTATGTTTAAAGTTATTACTGTCACTTTGCATATATCCTCCACTTACTCTGATTATTAAAAACCATTTTTCATTAACGCTTTTCAAGGAGATCTCGTTCAGTCAGAGCACTTATCTTAATATTTATAACATATTTTGTTTACTAGTAGTACATTCCTGCATCTATCTGACAGGCTAATCACACAACTATGTTATGATAGTACCAATTAAAATTATTTTTCTAACAGATTCCCATTCCTAACCTTAACATGTGTAAAGCTCTTCAGAATAACAAAGATACTAAGTTGATAAATCCTGCTACACTTAGGTATATAGACGACAACCATATAGACGTAATTTACTATTTTGTAGTAGTAAAGAAGAACGTAAGTTTTATTTTTCAATACGAGGGGTATACTCGTAGTATAAAAACGCTCACACCACACCAAGAATGTACGGAGATAGGATGTCAAGTATATTGGATCGGTAATTTCTACTCGTGATAGTATGCTTGAAAATTAAGCAAACTTAATAGTTATTGATGTATTTGCGGTGTAAAGAAGATGCTCAAAGCGGCGCGAGGTCTAACTCGCGACAGGACATTTTCAGATACATACAAAATTATATTTACAACCGCCCAAAATGAAAAAAAAAATGGTCTAACCTCTGGTCTTATAAAATTGACGGTACTATTGTGACGTATGTTCTATAAGTTTCGCCACAAAATACTTATCGGATTTTCTTTTAATGGTGCAATTTATTTGAACACTAACTAGTTATCGTAAATTACAACTAAACTTAACTAAAAACTTAACTAAACTTAACTAAACGATACTATCGAATTATGCGGAGTGGCCCATTATGCTCTGCCAGACCCAACTTCCTTCGAATGTCTCTCATGAGGCCCAGGAGGGAATTCAGATCAATTTCTCTCAGTTTTTCGTAAATTTGTCGTGAATTGTTCTTCATCTTGGGCTTCCCAGCTTCCATGATAAACACTCCTAAACAGTAAAGCCCAAAAACCCTCTATTGTGCCTGCGTCAAGTTTGAAAGATTATCGTTAGCATGATGTTTTTCAACAAGCTGAAGCAATTTGTAAAGGCACTTGTCGATATAGCTCTGACTATTCAAAGCTTCACACCTCACTCTTCCCACAAAAGGTTGGGATACACCTCTGTTAGAAATTGCACACCCGACAAGGATTTTATCTGCAAATCTCGCTTAACAATCTATCATTGCCATGGCATTCGTCTACATTGGCCATATAAAATCCGTCGTTTCCCTTTATTTGAGAATTACTCAAAGTAAAATACTTTTTATCATCTAAAATGATCATTTCTCCACTAGCAAAGTGCATCCGCCTCAGTTGACAACAGTATCATGCTATACGAAGGAGTTGCGCTTAAGGGTATTTGGGGCACTTAAGTTTCTTACTACATTTAAGACCATTCCTCCTCAATTCCAACGATATCGTACTCTTAAAAGATCTGTATTGAGTCAGTCTCCTTGTTGACTTTAAAACCCGGTTTTTTGCTCTTCTCACTGATCTGTCTGACCTCTGTGCAGTAAATGTACGTATCTTACACTTTTTGGGAGATTCAGACATAGTACTCCCTTCTCGCACTCAGCTATTGTCTGGAAAACGGTGCTGCGTGGAATGTTTTTATTTTGGAGTATTCGACAGAATTCGGCTTTGGGTGCTTAACCAACTTATAGATAGTGTTTATTATTTCTAATGCATATGTCATCTTAAAGCGAAAACTTCGAAATAAGTAAATGTCAGCTGACCAAGAACTTATGTTTCCAAATGCAACTTGATATTATTTCGTGTTTGTTAAAATTAAAGCTAATGAATTTTGTACCAAAACTTTTAGGGCATACATTAGCACCAGTAGTTAGTAGCCTGCGTATCGGGTATTGCATAAATCAGGACAGCCCCCGGGTTCGCTATATTGTGTTCATCGGGCGTTAAAGTCAGTTTACCGCGCTGGGACATAAATGAGAATGTGGGCTAGAAATAGGGACTGATGCCCAGGAAACATATGCTCCATCCTAGATGAAAGTCTGACAACCTAAGATAGATTCTTGGATATTCCAAAATGACTGCAAATTAAAAAAATCAAAAATATCAGCTTCTACAGGTCATGATTATCTGTAGGAAAACTCTTCGATTACACTTTAATATATCGCAATTTCTGAAGTCATTAAAAATGATTTGACTGTGCCCTTGAAAAATGCTAACAATTAAAAAAACATAGACCAGAACTCTAAGTGTGGCAGCGTAAATTGTTTAATGAAAATGTTTGTAAAAATTCTTTGCATTTTGAAAATCATACATTTAAAAATATTTCCATTGGCCCTTTTCATGAAATCATAATATAAAGAATCAACCTTTTGAATATTGTTAGTAGAAAGCTCGAACGCGGCGGATGGGGAGTGTGCGTAAGAAAAT